TTAAAAAAATAATTGGGGATATGGCTAATGTCTACTGTCTCACATGTATCTTGATCAGTGAGAAGCGCATACGAAAGGAATGGTGGGGGAGAGAAGAAATGAGATTGGCAAAGCGGGCGATGGTTGGCTCCGGACTGGGGGTGCACGGGAAGTCCCCTGTGGTCTTCACGCTAATTGGAGAACTGTGCACGGAGCGTGTAGTGCCTGCTTGTCTGTGCTCTGTGACACAGTGCCAAGAGGGAGTTCTGAGACGCGCAATGGAAGACACTTTCAGAATCAGAAGGAGGGAGTGGTGGTGGCAGCTGAAACAAGAGCTGATAAACCCGAGCTGTAGCTGCTCAGGCCAGCGTGGCCCAGGGAGCCATCGTGTTGCTCCACTTTTACAGCTGTGCTCAAAAAATTTAATAGAAAAATTGAATTCTTTAGGATTCTTTAGAAAATATAGCATAACGTTAAGATTTGATAAAGCTGAGTAATGAGTATGCTACTGTTCGGTGTCTTTTTAAGACGTATTTAATGGAAAGGCAGAGCATGAGATATGGATTGAATGATTATCCGCCTGCCTGCCTGCCTGCCTGCCTGCCGGTTCACTCCCCAAAGGGCCACGGCAGCCAGGCCTGGCCCAGGCTGAAGCCAGGAGTGAAGGACTCCGCCCGCGTCTCCCACGTGGGTGCAGAGGCCCAAGCACTGGCGCCACCTTCTGTTGCTTTCCCAGGCGCAGTAGCAGGACGGGACCCAGAGCAGCCACGCAGCTGGGAGGCTGGCGTCGCAGGCAGTGACCGAACCCCCGCGCCACCACGCCAGCCTCACGCGTAGTACCCTACTGTGTATTCTTTGAACACACTTTTCCTTTAAATCCCACAGCCTGGCTCCTCTTCCTGAGTACGGGTGTATCTGTCAGCTTTTGCTCTTCCGCTAACAAAACACCTGCGGCAGTTCCACAGAGAAAAGGTCGGTGTAGTTCACAGACCCGGAGGTTAAAAATCCAAACGCGCGGCGCAGGCTGTGGCCCTGGCCAGGGCCCGTAGTGGATGCTGGCTGGAGAGGCACACAGAGGAGGGGCCACGTGGGGGCCCGGGATGCTGAGAGAGGCTGGGCCCAGGACCTGCCACTGGGCCCCAGCTCCCCCAGGTCTTACCACCTCCCAAGGGCATGGCCCTGCGGACCAAGCCTTTGACACATGGGTCTCCAAGACACACTCAAACCGTAGCAAGGGGTCACACCGTCTCCTTGGCATTATCTCCAGCTCCTGGCTTCAACAGCTCAGATTATACTGTGGCAACTACTAATCCTGTTGTACTTTTATTTTTTAGCTTAAAAAGATTCAAGTCACAGAACCTGACTTCCCACAGGAGTGTGTGGCTGCCGAAGTCTCTGCCCAGCTTTAGTCTGATTTTCACTCTCACTCTGCCTCCCCTGGGGCCACTCCTGTACACCCTGGGGTCAGCAGAGGCCATCTGAGCCCCTGAGGCTGCCAGCCAGTGCTGGGGTGGCCAAACAGCCATGTAGGGGTGCGCAGCTCACTCAGAGGGCAGCCTCCCGCCCACCGCGGCTACACCTCCCCATCACGCTCTGCCCATCGCTTGTCTTCTCTGTTGTTGCAGCCTTGGGCTGAGTTTCTCCCTCTGTTTCCTCCCAAGCTCACCCCCTTTCATTGGCAAGATCACGGGTTTTGCATGGCCCTCACTCCTCCATGGAGTCCACCTCCTGCTGTTTTGAGATCAAGTCGGTGTTAGCAAAACCAGGAGGCTTGGGAAGCTGAGGGGCCCCGGCAGGAGGGCCCCAGGCTCCAAGTCACGACCTGCAGCCCTGGGAGCTTCTCACACAGAGACGATTCTCCGTTTCCTCTCTGACCGTGGTCAGCTGCCGTCTTTGACGACGTGCACCTCGGGAGGACGGCTCACCTCTCTCCACACTGTGCTGCTGTCCTCTGGAACCCTAACTGCCTCCTCTCAGATGCTGTCAATACTGTGACAGTGACAGCTCGAGGCCGGCATCACGGCACAGTGGGTTACGCTGCCTCCTGGGACACCAGCGCCCTGTGTCATAGGGCCCATTGGAGTCCCGGCTGCGCCTCTTCTGATGCAGCGTCCCGCGTAAGCACCTAGGAAAGCAGCGGAGGATGACCGAGTGCCTGGGCCTCTGCACCCATGTGGGAGACCTCAAGAAGGTCCTGTTGTCTCCTGGCTTCAGCCTGGCCCAGCCCTGGCCATTGTGGCCATTTGAGGAGTGAGCCAATGGATGGAAGCTCGCTCGCTCTCTCTTTCCCCACCCCTCCCTCCCTCCCTCTTTTTTGCTCTGCTTTTCAAATAACTCAATCTTTTAAAAACGATCTCAGCAAGTAAACCTGACATCTAAAAAGAAAATAAAAGATAAAGAGACGCTTGATTTCTCCAGTACCACGCCTGTGGAGAACTGATTTTTGCCATCGTTAATATCCTCCGGCACAGGAGCTACCGAGTTCCCCACACCACTCCCAAGAGGACACAGACTGAGCACCTGGACCCGCAGACCCCCGGCGTCTGCCGGCTCCATGGACGTGCTCCCGTGAGAAGACCTTAAAGAGTCAGGAAACGTTTCCATCCAACTTTTAAAAAAAAAAGCTAGTCTTGACCTCGTAACTTTATCACCACTGTCCCCTTGTCCACGGGGGGCCTGAATAGTGCGGGGGAGTCACCGTGACACCTCAGACAACACCCGGGTTTTACAAATTCGCTTCAGCGGGGGACCTGCAGGGGAGCCTGGAGCGAATGTGTCTCAGCTCTTCCTAATTCTTGGCAAGACGTCTCGTCTCACCTCAGCCTCCGGGCCCGTGCCCTTCGGGAAATGCAGACCTTGAAGGACGGGTGTCCACTTCTGCGTTCTCAAGGGCTGAGCCTGGTCCATGGCCGGAGGGGACAGCTCCCACCAAGACGCCGTCTGTGACCAACAGGAAGAGCGCATCTTACATTGCTAAGAGCCCAAGGATATCTAGGGAAGCAACTTTACCAAACTCTTACTGAAGTTCACAGTCAAAATATTTTCAAATCATTGCGATTTAATTTGTGAGGGTCAAAAATAGTTCACTGAAGTCAAAGAATGTTAAGAGCTGGAGAGGAGATTACTCTTGCAAGAACAGTTGCAGCCGAAAAGGACGCCGGGTAAACCTGCTTAGAGCACGGAGTAGCAATTTCTTCACCCCACAAGGAGAAGAGCGATGCACTACTAGTAAGATTCCATCTTGGGAGCCCAGGCGGAAAACAAACCGAGGGTCAACTATTCACCCTAAGTGATCCATTTGTTCACATTCAAAAAATGTTCTCCATCTCGAAGACAAATAGTACTGCAATTATAGGTTATTAATTTATTAGATACACTAAATTATGACAACGACCTGCTGTGAAACCTCGGCTGTATCACTGCTCACACGACCTTAGCCCCAAGCACAGGAAGTGAAAGGTCAGGTTACACTTGGTGTTGGCTGCACTGGGTTAGGGCTGCCCTGGAATGTGCTAGCCTGCGCCCCTTAGAGCCGCTCCAACTTCCCTCCAGATTCGTGCTTATCAACCGCTCCCCTGCCCCCGTCTCTAGGCCAGGCTCCAGCCAGGGGCCCCCAGCACTGGGCGCGCCCCGCCGGCATTCCTCTCACTTCTCCTGTAGCCTGGAAATGTAGTGTGGCTCCCCTGGTGACCTTGAACTTCTTTACCCTGTCCTTCTTTCAGCATAGGTCCCCTCCAACCTCAGAGCAATCGACAACTTCCCGCCACCCTCATCCTGCCCCCCGCTCCCCTTCCTCCCTCCCTGGCCCTGGTTCCCTTCTTGCGGACTCTCCAGTGCCCCCTCCAATCCCCCTTTCCTGATTCTCCATCCACTCTGGGTCCCCGCAAGCTCACACACATGCTCAAGTCTCTCTGCTTAGGACACCTCTCCCTCCACCCAACTGGCCTCCGACCCCAGTCCCGTCTCTGCTTTGCGATCCAGGATCTTGGCACAGCTGCCTCCACCATCCTCCACTTGCTCATCACCAACCAGACTGCTCTTGGCACACCGTCCCACCACGGCTCCCACCCAGGAGGAGCCAGCCACCTTCTCTCCCCGAAGCTCACGTCTCTCACAAACTATTCCGCCAGCCCTCTCGGTAGCTCCTTACCTTCGGGAAGCAACCCTTGGCTTTGGCTGCACCCCCACCTCTGACGCTCTTACCCACTTGGACGGTGCTCATCACTCCGCCACGTGTGGCCCCGTGGGCTTCAGCCAGCATTTCCACACGTGGCACACTCGCTCGTTTAATAAACCTTATGAATAAACATGTCACTTGACTCTTACAGCCTGAGATTACTTTTCAGACGAGAAAAACGAGGCCCATCGAGAAGTGATTTTGTTAAAGGCCCCACATAAAGGCTCAGATTCAGTACTTCCCCCAGTCCACCTGGGTCTTCCAACGCCTCCGTCACCTCAACAACTCAGACTATTGAGTTCCACGTCGAAGGGACGACGACGGGCTGATTCGCCAGTGATGGACACCGCATCTTAATGAGAAAGGGAAACCAGGCCGCTGCAACCTTTCGACTTCACGTAGAACCCGGAGTACGTGTGCAGTATCCACACACACGTGTTTAGTTTCTACTTAATCATTTGAAAGAGCCATAGCAAGCTCCCAGCCGGTGGCTACTTCCCAAATGCCCACCATGGCTGGTGCTGGGCAGGGCCTGGTCTCCCAAGTGGGAGGCAGGGACCCAGCTACCAGGATCTGCACTGGAAGGAAGCCGAGGCAGGAGCAGAGCTGGGCACCGGGCCCAGGCAACCCGACGTGGACGTGGGCACTGCGAGGCCAAACGCCTGTCCCCGGAGCCCCTTTCAAACTGTTCACACTTAAAAAATTCCCAAGACATCCAGTGAGCACTTGAAGACCTTGGCTTCAGTAGTTCATCAGCCACTGCTGTAAACAACATGTGTAAATCATCCCCCCTTAGCTGTTTGCTAAAAAAGAAAAAAAGAAAAAAATATTGTGGACGAAGACATTGCCAACTTACATATATCATCTTTATTTGGAATATTTTTTGCCTTACAATGCTCCTGAGAAATTAAAAGATGCATTGACTTTAGCGCTATAAAACATAATTAATATTAAGGTTGGCTTGGAAATTTCCCCACATTTAGATATTTCTCTAAAAATCAAGAGAAAATTTATAATTTTATTTATTTTTAAGATTTATTTTTATTTACTTGATAAAGTCAGAGTTACAGAGAGGAGTGACAGAGAAATCTTCCATCTGCTGGTTCATTCCCCAAATGGCTGCAACAGCCAGGGTCGGGCCAGGCTGAAGCCAGGAGCTTTTTCCAGGTCTCCCATGTGGGCACAGGGGCCCAAGCACCTGGGCCATCTTCCGCTGCTTTCCCAGGCCATAGCAGGGAGCTGGATCAGAAGTGGAGCAGCCAGGACACAAACCGGAGCCCACACGGGATGCCAGCATTGCAGGCTAGGGCTTGACCCATTACGCCATAACACTGAGCCCAAAAATTTGAAATTTTTAAATAGAGATAACTTAATAGGTTAAAAAGTAAAGATTGGCAAATAATTACAAATATCAGAACATTATTTTTTTCCCATAGGAATATATAAAATAAATATCACAGCTCATTTGGTATTTACAAAATTATATTTTCATTGATGGAAGATGTTTTACATACTTGGACATATGAAAAACTTCACTAGCTTTAGAAATCAAATTCAAATGCTCTTACGTTTGATGCCACACAGCACTTTCTAAGTACTTCTCACCAAACCACTGACTCGGGAGGGGTCCCTCTCAGGTAACCATTAGGAGGTTAAACGAAACGGAAGGCTTTATTTGGGGTGGGATACTTAAAGCTTTAGCTGATTAGCTGCGAGAAAGTCATTCCTCTGTTCCCATGGTTCTGTTGTGCTTTTTTCCTTTATTTGCTCAAATCAAGAATGGTAGGAACTAACTCACACCACCGAGGGACACAGTACTACACCAGAAGGGTCCAACCCACGCCTGCAGGGAAGCTGTGCTGCAGTATCGTTCAGCTACACACGGCTGAAAACCACCAGGAATGTTGTGAAAAACGGGCAGCTCAGGCAGAGATCAACCACAAACAGTAAAATGACCGCAGCTGCATACTGATACCGCAGCCCAGGTACTGACAGCAGCGGCCTGTGGCGAACACTGGGACGGCAGGCTCCCTCAGTCTCGACAGGAGAGATTCCTTGAGCAGACGGCTCACCTCTGACACGGCTCGGCTTCAGGGCAGCGGGCGAGCTGTGTCTGCTTGGGGTCAAAGCGAGTCAGCCAGCCGCAGCTTCAACGGTACGGAGGAAGCATTTGGGACACAGCTTCAGGACAAGACTATCTGGGACGCACTTACTAACCAGCAGCTCTGTAACAGCGTGCTCTGTGCTCTGTGGATATGCAGTCCATCCACGACAGCTTTCAAACGAACGCTGAACTGCCGAGTTGGGGGGCGGGGTGGGGGGAGACAGGCTGTTCTGACCAGGGAAGGAAATACTCAAAATGTCATAAAAGGCATTTCAAATATGGTGACATACTACTTACATACCCACCATGCACGTCCTCTTCAAAATAAAACATTTTCTGCATGTCCTCAAAATGAAGAACCGTTTTTGTTTTAAACTTGAACCTAGTGTTTCAGCTGCTCCGCACTGAACTAAAACTCCAGTGGCGAAGCAGCAGGTGATTCAGGACGGCCAGCGGGAACGTCCTCGGAAGGAGCACACAGGGATCCAGGAGTGACAGTCGGCCCCCACTTCCGATTCTTCCGCCTTCCACACACGCAGTCTGAAACTCGATCCTCTCCCGTGCTGTGTGCAGGCAGAGGCCAGGGGCGGCACCGCGCGGCGCAGGAGGCCCAGTGCCGCTGAGCTGGGGTGTCCGGGAGGCCCGGTGCCGCTGAGCTGGGGTGTCCGGGAGGCCCGGTGCCACTGAGCTGGGGTGTCCGGGGGCCCAGTGCCAATGACCTAGGGTGTCCCGGAGGCCCGGTGCCGCTGAGCTGGGGTATCTGGGAGGCCCAGTGCGTCACTTGCAGCCGTGAGTGCCGGCGCTTGCTCAGCGTAAGCCCAGGGCCAGCTGAGAAGTTCTTACACAGGATCTGTGCACCAGCTTCCCGCCAGGGTACATAGGGATGGCGGATACAGGTTTCACCTGCCGTCAACAGTCTTCAAATACATTAGAAATATTCCGTGAGCCACAGCAAAACATACAAACAACCAAAGTAAGCTCTGGCCAGAGCCAGGCCTATTTACATACTTGGATTAGTCTTATTTTCACCTTTCCTTGCTATACAAAATGTTGCTATTTTAAAGGCATATTGAAATCCACAACATACACGAGAAGTGTCATTTTAAATGTACAACTTCAACAACTAACACAAATCTGAACATCTTGATACAATTAAGTTTCAAGTCAGGGTTTTTCATGATAGTTTAACACAAAATTAAAGCAATACTCTCGTCCTCTTAGGTCACAAACACCTGGCGCTGGTACTGTCAGAGCGACCGCAGGGCGGGCGGGTGTGGAGGCGCGGGCGCGGGCTCTGCGCACCTGCGTGAGGGAGCTCTGACTTTAAGATGCGACCTCTAAGCAGACGCCAGAGGCCTTAAAATGCAAGGGTGCCCACACCATGCACCTGCCAATGAAGGGACGCTCGCTGGGCGGCCGCCAGGGGTTACGGCAGGAGCGAGGAGGGGGTAGACGAGGGGGTTAAGGCTACGATGGACCAAGGCCTGCACCCTGACTGGGGTGCTGGTCACGTGAGCACAGCCGGGCGGATGCCGCACAGACCCTCGCACACTTGCCATTCCCGGGCTCCGGGGCCTGCGCACGCACTACGTGCCTCAGCTCTCTGCTACATAGCGCCCAGACTCTGAGCTTTGAAAGGTGAATCACTTGTCTCTAGCTTAGGAGAGCTTGAAAACCAGAGAAGGAAATAAAAAGCTGATGTATAGTACAGCGACCAGGATTTGTCTTTTTAAAATGTAAATTAAGAAAAGGGTAAATCAAGTATTTCTAGTTTGTATTAGGTCAAATCAGAGAAGGAAAAGAACAGCTGTTCCTCTGACTCCTGCCGATTTCTAAAAGCACTGAGAACATTTTTATTAAACTTAGAGAAAGTACAACTACAAACATACACATGAATGTCTTCCCAAGGGCACTTTGTGATAACGGACATCGCATAGCGCTCACGGTTTCTTTAAAGTGCTGTGTCGTCTCTGGCTCTGGCTGGAGGGTCCTTTATTGCTTTAAAAGGTCTTTCAACACAACTCCAGCGCTGTTGTCCGGCGACACCGGCAAAGGGGCGAACGTGGGCAGAACATCTGAGATGGGTTTGAGGAGCAAGTGCCCAGGCCCCCCGGGGCCAAGTCCAGCTGGGTTAACAAGGGGCACGGCAGCAGAGCGGGGGGCCAGGAACGGATTCACATCAGCTCTTCTACCAGACCTGGACTCCGCTGGATCTACATGATAAACAGGGATGATTTGATCTCTCACTCTTTGCAAAGACACTGACTTGAAATAACCCTCTGAATAGGGGCATAAAGTTAACCCTGTATCATTGATTAGCACGCATACACCCACACCCACATACACACGTACATATGAATAGCCAACTTACACCACCATTAGCTTCGAGAATTCCATCTTACTGGTAATAACACTGGGATTTAACATGTTTTTTGGGCCATTCTTTAAGGTTTTTTTTTCTTTTAAGGTTTATTTATTTATTTGAAAGAGTTAGGGAGAAAAAGATCTGTCTGCTGGTTTACTCCCTAGACAGTTGCAAGAGTGGAGGCTGGGCCAGGCCTACACTAGGGTCTAGGAGCTTCTTCTAGGGCTCCCATGCGAGTAGCAGGGCCCGGAGCACTTGATCTACCCACTCACTTAAAAGGCAGAGCCAGAGAGGCCCCATCTTCTGGTCCACTCCCCACCTGGCCACCACAGCTGGAGCTGGGCCTATCCAAACCCAGGAGCTTCTTCCAGGTCTCCCATGCAGGTGCAGGGGCCCAAGCACTTGGGCCATCTTCTGCTGTTTTCCCAGGCCACAGCAGAGAGCTGGATCAGAACTGGAGCAGCTGGGTCACGAACTGGTGCCCATATGGGATGCCGGCACTGCAGGCAGCAGCTTTACCCGCTAGGCCACAGCGCCGGCCCCACTTGGATCACCTTCTGCTGTCTTTCCCAGGTCATCAGCAAGGAGCTGGATCAGATGTGGAGCAGCTGGGACACGGACTGCTGTGCACGTGGGATGCTGGCGTTGCAGATGGCTTTACCACTGTGCCACAACGCTGCCCCTCTTTAATTATTTAAAATGAGAGCACAGGCGGCCTTAATGTCTAAATACAAATGCCAGTTTGTATTGTAATTCTGATTAAAGTTCATTCTTGGTGATTCAAACGGCCTTCTGTCACAACAAGTGACCCATGTGTTTTGGGTTCCTAGACTGGGCTCACAAAGCAGCTTATAGAACCCATACGCTGCTGGGTTCTGGATCACAGACGCTGCGCCTATGGAGATGCAGACAGAGAACAAGGACGAGAAACGCAGGGAACGCGAGCCAGACGGACGCCTAGCACTTCACCAAACACAATGATACTGCTGTTTTGCACTTATTTACTGATTTTCAGATTTTTATTTATTTTCATCTTTTTCAAAAGGTAGAAAGACACAGAAGTCTTCCACCTGCTGGCTCACTCCCCAACACCCACAACAGCCAGGGCTGGGCCGGGCCAAAGCCAGGTGTCTCCTGTCTGTGTGGCAGGCGCCCATCACTGCTGCCTCCCAGGGTGCACCAGCAGGAAGCTGGGCTGGAAGCGGAGTGGCTGGGACTGAAACCAGGCTCTCGGGCATGTGGACTCTGCTGTGCAGCCTTAACCTGCAGGCCAAGCATCTCGCAGCTACGCTGCCCCTGCCTGTAGTCAAACGCCAGTTGTGTAACTGATGAATTTTACTTACTATAACAACAAGTTTTTTTTTTTTTTAAAGATTTATTTTATTTATTTGAAATGCAGAATGAGGCGGGGGCGGGGGGGCATCTTCCATCTGCTGGTTCACTCTCCAAATGGCTGCAACAGCCAGGGCTGGGCCAGGCCAAAGCCAGGAGCCAGGAGCTTCTTCCATGTATCCCTTGTGGGTGCAGGGGCCCAAGCACCTGGGCCATCTGCTGCTGCTTTCTTAGGCGCAACAGCAGGAAGTGGATCAGAAGTGGAGCAACGTAACTCGAAGCAGCACCCATACGGTATGCTGGCATCTTGTGTGGAGGCTTTGCCCGCTACGCCACAATGTTGGCCCCTAACAACAGCTTTTCAAAACGTATTGTCTGGATGCTAAGGAATCTCTTATCCATCTGAAAGATGAAGGACTTAAGATATGACATTCTGGGGCTGGTGCTGTGGCACAGCAGGTAAAGCGGCCGCCTGCAGTGCCGGCATCCCATATGGGTGCCAGTTCGAGTCCCAGCTGCTCTACTTCTGATCCAGCTCTCTGCTATGGCCTGAGAAAGCAGTGGAAGATGGCTCAAGTCCTTGGGCCCCTGCACCCACGTGGGAGACTTGGAAGAAACTCCTGGCTCATGGCTTTGGACTGGCCCAGCTCTAGCTGTTGTGACCATTTGGGGAGTGAACCAGCGGATGGAAGATCTCTCTCTTTGTCTCTGTCTCTTCCTTTGCCTCTCTGTAATTCTGCCTTCCAAATAAACAAACAAATCTTCAACAAAACAAAACAAGTACTGACATTTTCCCCAAACAATTGTAGTGGTCAGGAAAAACACTGGCAACCACATTACAGTGATAACATCGGGATTACTACCAACTTACTAAAAGAAAAGGAACATAGACATCTGCTGCACGGCTAACTTTCAGGCCTTCTGATGCCGGAGAACAATGCTTGGCTAGATTACTTCTCTGTGGAGTCAGGCTGATGGCACTCAGTTTTTACTGGAAGAGGTTTTTGTTTATGAGCTCATGTCTGAGGGGACCCAACTCTGCCACCAACCTCAATGGCAGGAGACAAGCAACCTTCTGAAGGTGTCTACCTCAGCAATGGGAAACTCAACAGAGGAGGCCTTCAACCCAAGGAGAGCACGTGGCAAGGTCATCCTTCCACTGGTCATCCCGCCCCTGCGTCCAACGTGGCTCTGCCTGTGAACAACCTCCTCAAGTCTGGGAAAGCTCCCGCAGCGCCGTCCTGAGCGCATCTTCCCAGTCTAAGATTAGACGAAGCGAGCTTCTTAGTTCTTCTCATGCAAAACCGGTGTAAGCTCAGACTGTCACTGGCTTCCCTTTCTGACAAATAAGTCAAAGTGGGCAGGAGGTGAGGGGAGGAAAGGGAGATGGAGGAGAGGGAGGGCACCTTGCCAGTGAGCCTGGAGTCTGCTGACTGCAACAAGAAAATGCCTTCAGTATCGCCCACGTCCCTTAGACAAAGTCACCGTTTTCACTCAATTTAGCAGCCCAGTCTTGTATCTCAATAACAGGTAAATTTACCACCTTCTGTCAGTGTACAAAAACAGACATATGTAGAAAGTTTTGAAATTTTCAGAAATAAATTCTTAAATATTTTACAAATTTAAGTATTTGACATGATAGAAATACAAGAGTAGCCGGCGCCGCGGCTCACTAGGCTAATCCTCCACCTTGCGGCGCCGGCACACTGGGTTCTAGTCCCGGTCGGGGCGCCGGATTCTGTCCCGGTTGCCCCTCTTCCAGGCCAGCTCTCTGCTGTGGCCAGGGAGTGCAGTGGAGGATGGCCCAAGTGCTTGGGCCCTGCACCCCATGGGAGACCAGGAGAAGTACCTGGCTCCTGCCATCGGATCAGCGCGGTGCGACGGCTGCAGTGCGCTAGCCGCGGCGGCCATTGGAGGGTGAACCAATGGCAAAGGAAGACCTTTCTCTCTGTCTCTCTCTCTCACTGTCCACTCTGCCTGTCAAAAAAAAAAAAAAAAAAAAAAAAAAGAAATACAAGAGTAGATAACATATATGCAGTCCAACTAGCCAGCATATTCGTCTAGATTACAATACGAAGACTACAGGGGCTGGCACTGTGGTGCAATAGGTTAAGCTCCCGCCTGTGGTGCCAGCGTCCCACATGAGCACTGGTTTAAGTCCCAGTTGCTCCACTTCCGATCCAGCTCCATGCTAACGTGCCTGGGAAAGCAGTAGAAGATGGCTCAACTGCTTGGGCCCCTGCACCCATGTGGGAGACCTGGATGAGGCTCTTGGCTCCTGGCTTTCAGCCTGGTCCGGCCCCAGCTGTTGTTACCACTTGGTGAGTGAACCAGTGGATGAAAGATATCTTCCCCCACTGCCCCATACGAACACGCAGATCTTTCAACCTAGGGTCCTTCACAGCATTCTTGGGGATTTAAGTCCATGTACCAGCTGTGCTTAAATAGATTACTAACCTGTCAAGTCCTGGTTGTTGAGTAGAACACTTACGATTTTTTTAAAGGAGAAAAAAAAACTTGTCTCAAACTGTAAGTTACACTTCTACCTCAGATTGGTAATGAGGACAAAGACAGATGACCGGGGCCAGCGCTGTGGCGTGGTGGGAAAAGCTGCTGCCTGCAGTGCTGGCATCCCATATGGCATGGGTTCAAGACCCGTCCGCTCCATTTCCGGCCCAGCTTTCTGCTATGGCCTGGGAAAACTGGAAGATGGCCCAAGTGCTTGGGCCCTTGCACCCACATGGGAGACCCAGAGGAGGCTCCTGGCTCCTGGCTCCTGGCTCCTGACTTCGGATAGGCTCAGCTCTGGCCGTTGTAGCCATTTGGGGAGTGAACTAGCGGATGGAAGACTTCTCTCTCTCTGTAGCTCTGCCTTTCAAACAAATACTTACAAAAAAAAAAAAAGGTGACCAAGCAAAGGTTTAACCAGTTCATCAGCACTTCCACACTTTCAGAAGAGTAATTCAAAATGGCTTATGTAGAGGGAGAAGAATTATTCTGGTATATAAAGGGAAAATAACTCATACTATTTAAATTAACCTAAGCCAATTAAATATCAGATTGCTACAAGAATATATGAAGCCAAAATCTGATGTCAGAATTTTAGGAACAGTCATACTTAAACACTAACAGTTTGGCTAATATCGATATAAAGAATACTCATAAATTAAATGTTCATATTTTTAAGTTGTAGAAAAAATAGTTCGGTTTTACCTTTGAAACTTTCTGGTGCATTTGTATCCAGTTTTCTTCTTCCTGGAGAATCTAGAGGCTTCATGTCATGAACAGAAAGTTTTGGTGGTGGAACAGATGGATGAGATTCTGTCTCTAGGAATTTAACAAAAAGTTCTGAAAAAGACTAAGAAAAAGTATTTTGATTGCATTATTAATAAAATTATATTTAATGCAACTAAGAAAATACACCTATAAACTAAAAACTACTTATCATTTGAATCATTTTCTTTACAAATCATCTTTTGAATAATAGAAAATGCTGGCACATTACTTACACAGATTATCATTATAAAATTTCAATAATTAGTCAATAATCTTTGAGAACAACAGTCATTTCCAACACCTTCCAGTCAGAATTAGCCTAGATGAAACAAAGCTCACATTTCTTGCCATCACTGGCACTTCGGACATCGAGGCTTAGCATCCTAACAGCTGTCTGCATAGACATGCCAACGGTTCCAACGGACAGCAAGAATAAACACAATTTTCTAAAGACAGACCCAATCAGTAAATATAGCAGATCACCAGGAACATTGGAATAACATAGTGGAGATCTTTCCTTTAAATTAAGTTTTATATCTTCCCTAGTCTTATCTTTTATCCTTAACTAGCTCTGGGTAAGGCATCTACCTTCAGCACCTTTTCATTAAAACAATAAAAGAAAGCAGCTCCAAATACCAACTAATAACCTAATAACTAATAACTCTTCAGTGACACCCCTTGAGACATCCTAGGCCCCAGCGTGTCATGTTCATCAGTGTTAAAGGCAGATCCCTTGTCATGTCATCACACGTTAACGGCAGTCCCCGTGTTACCATGTCATCGTGTGTTAAAGGCAGACATGGTGTTGTCATGTCAGCACGTGTTAGCGGCAAACCCTGTGTTGCCATGTCATCACGTGCTAGTGGCAGACCTCATGGTGTCATGTCATCATGTGTTAACAGCAGACCCCCTGGTGTCATGTCATCATGTGTTAACGGCAGACATGGTGTTGCCATGTCATCACGTGTTAAAGGCAGACACGGTGTTGTCATGTCACCACGTGTTAAAGGCAGATCCCATGGTGTCATGTCATCGCATGTTAACAGCAGACCCCGTGTTGTCATGTCATCACGTGTTAACAGCAGACTCCGTGGTGTCATGTCATCACGTGTTAGTGGCAGACCCCGTGGTGTCGTGTTCATCAGTGTTAATGGCAGACCCTTTGTCTGTCTGGTTCAGAGTTGTGTTCTCAGGACTCAGGGCATTTTGTACACAGCAGGTACTCAGTAAGTATCACTGATTGGCTCAGTGACTTGGAACATACACACACACATTAAATAATTTAATAGCAGGACTGCCAGTGGTAGCATAATCAAACACGAAGAAAGAACAGTTAGAAACCTGAAAAATAAAGGTACTGTATACAAACACTTCAAGAAAATCCACATGCAATAAAATGACTAAAACAGCTTGTCATCGGTAAGGCAAGCGCTTCCTTGGCTCTGTTCCACGGCTCCATGTACCCTGAACGTGAACTCTGTCTGGAGGCAAGTGTGCTAGGCAATACCCCACCCTCACTCGGCGGGAACAGAATCCCTTCTTACACTGTGAAGCATGGATTGCTGATTGGGTCTCAAGGGTGTGCTGGGGACACTTTTTGATCCTCCTCCAAGCCATCCTGTCATCCACCTGGTCACACCACCCTGATCTTCTTTAAACAACTGAAGAAAAACAGGAAAACATTATCAATGCAAGAGAAGAACATTCTCACATGATTTCAGGTGGTAGCAAGTGCAGTTCTCACTGAATCCTCCTACTGACGAAGGCTACAAATACAGCACTATGCCAACCACACCCCAACAAACAGTGCAGGACAGTCACATCTCAGCACTGCAGCATCCTAACACAAGAGGCGGTTTTTAAGCTACAAAACAGTTAAACTAATATATAAACGTAAAAAAAATCCAGCTCTTTGACGTAGTAGGAAACGATTCCATTTCCACTTTATAAAGAACATCATGTTCGGTAGAACTATGCAGAGAGAGAGCAAATGCTGTTCTAGGAGGCTGCCGCGCAGCTGCCGATGCCCGTCACCTGCTCCATCTCCTCCCGTTTCACGCCCAGGATGCTGCCCATCAACCGCAACACTTCGTGTCGCTGACTCTTCGGTGTGTGGAAATGCCCAACGAAGAGGTTGCGCATCAGGACTCTGCAAAGTGAAGAGAACAGCTCAGACTCAATCAACATCAATGTACGCAAACACCAGAAAATGAGTACTTAGTTATAAATAATTAGATACTTAAACATAAAGACTAAACAAAAATAGTTTAAAATAATTAAAAAAAAAAACACCTTGACAAGTCTAAGAGTATTTCAGAACCATCACTGGCTAGCCACCCACTTCAGCCGAGTGAACAGCTGGCACCCTGCAGAATCCCTGCGCCTCGCTGGGCCGAGGGTCCCTGGAGCAGACCCTTGGGTGGGAACTACTGTTCCTGTGCCTCTCCTTCCCCGTCCTCATTTATTAAAAACTTGCTAATATCTGAATTTCAGTATTAGATGGGACATCAAGTATATACATAGTTTCAGTGACACATAATCAGAAGATGCTCACTAAAGGAAGAAGAAAACAATGTTAAAAATAAACCATTTTGGGGCCCAGCACTGTGGTGTAGCTGGTAAAGCCATTGCCTGCAGTGCTGCCATCCCATATGGGCGCTGGTTTGAGTCCCCGCTGTTCCACTTCCGATCCAGCTCTCTGCTATGGCCTGGGAAAGAAGATGGCCCAAGTCTTTGGGCCCCTGCACTGGCATGACAGACCTGGGAGAAGTTTCCAGCTCCTGGCTTTGGATTGGCTCAGCTCTGACCGTTGAGATCATTTGGGGAGTGAACCAGTGGATGGAATACCTTTGTCTCTCCCTCTCTCTCTCTAACTCTACCTCTCAAACAAACAAATAAAATCTTAAAAAAAAAAAAAAAATGGGGCCAGTGCTGTGGCATAGTAGGTAAGGCCACCGCCTACAGTGGTGTGCCGGTTCAAGTCCCGGCTGCTCCACTTCCAATCCAGCTCTCTGCTGTGGCCTGGGAAAGCAGAAGATGGCCCAAGTCCTTGGGCCCCTGCACCTGTGTGGTAGACCTGGAAGAAGCTCCTGGCTCCTGGTTTTGGATCGGAGCAGCTCTGGCCATTGCGGCCAATTGGAGAGTGAACCAGCGGTTGGACCCCCCCCACCCCGCCTTGCCTTCTCTCCCTGTGTAACTCTTTCAAATCAATAAATAAATCTTTAAAAAAAAAAAGACAAGTTATTCTACTGAATTTCTGTAAAACTACCTACATCTCTTCATGTTAAGAAAAGGCTCTCTGGCATTGTTGTTCAACGTGTTAAGCTGGTGCCTGGGATAACCACATCCCGTACTGGAGTGCCAGTTTCAGTTCTGGCTAGTGTGTCTAGGAAGCAGCAGATGATGGTTTAAGTCCTTGAGTTCCTGCCACCTACATGGGTGACACAGATGGAGTTTCTGCCTCCTGGATTTGGCCTAGCCCAGCCCCAGCTGTGGGCATTTGGGGAGTGAACCAGCAGATGAAGATCTCTCTCTTCCTTTCTGCCACATTTTGCCTTTCAATAAATAAGTAAATCTTGAAATCAATAAAAAGAGGGCTTTTTTATTTACTTGAAAGGCAGAGCCGAGAGAAAGAGAGAGAGAGAGAAAGAGAGAGAGAATCTCCCACTCACTGGTTCATTTCATTTCCACTCACTGGTTCACTCCCCAAATGGCTACAATGGCCAGAGCTGTGCTGGGCCAAAGCAAGGAGCCAGGAACCTTCCCCCTGGGTCTTCCATGTGGGCACAGGGGCCCAAGCACCCGGTCCATCCTCCTCCTAAGGTACACTAGCAGGCAGCTGCATTGGAAGTGGAGCAGTCAGGACTAGAAGTAGTGCCTATATGGGATGTGGTCGCCACAGACAGTGGCTTAACCCACTATGCCACAGCACTGGCCAAAAGAAAAAGGCTTTAAAAAAAAATACAATCACATGTAAACACCGACACATGGAAGTTATTTTTACCATAAAGAGAATCTAAAAAGTAAGAGACAAAAGCATACTTGTCCACTTTTCCTTCTGTGCTGTTTACTAAGTTCATCAATTTCTTTTGTACATCATCCAGCATTTCTTGTCGGAGCTGATCTGTTTTAAAATATGTGAATAAAGATAGCCATTAACTGATTAAAATAATCTGGGTGCATACATAATGAGATGTACACCATCCTTTACTATGATTAAAAATATGCCTGTATTCTAATGAGAACACTCGACTATTACCATCTTTTCTTTGGTCCAGGGAACTAGGCTGATACAGAAATTACCCAGAAGCTAGGGTATGCATTAATTCACATGGTTTATCCCCTATAAAATAACGGTTCTTTAACAGAAAAATCTAAAAACCAAAAAAAGTTTTCATCCTCTTTAGAAACCTAACGGCAAAGGAAGGATTCCATCACAGCCTTCCTGCAGGAAGCGTTTCCAGAGCCACTCTTATTTAATGGGAGGAAATGGAAAAGCAGCAGTTTTAGATTTTCCTTTTTCTATTTTCCTGGCTGGACTCAGTTTCTGGTGATCTAAGAAGAGAATCTAACACAGCTAAGACCAAGATGCAGCTGACAGGGCAAAGTATTCCAGACAAGGGAACTGCACAATGCAACTCAACAGCGCTGGCTCCAACACACTGGTTAAGTGACAGCTAATGAGCAGTTAGGAGGATACTTGGCCTATTTTAATATTCTTGCTTTAAAAAGTACACAAATGCTGTGAACCTTGGCAGAGCGCGGGCAGTGTGGGCATTCTTTTCTCCCAGACTTGCATGAAGCCGCACTGCAGCGCACCAGGCACAGGGCCTCCGGGACTGAGGACGCGCGGAGCTCACACCTGGTCCCCAGGCAGCGGACGGCGTGAGCTGGAGGAGACGCTCACCGACTTTACGCTTGACTAGCAGTTTTCATTCTGAGAAATGGAGACCACCTTGCTAACACAGCACTGCCTCTCAGACCCAGAACCACATCCCAAGTCAGTAGACTCGGATCCTGGCCCACACACCTGCTCCTTCTGAGTGGTGGCGCGTTTTCCTGGTCATAGCTGGACACAAGCTGCCTCATCAGACAGGCGACTTGCAAACACCGTTTCCCATGGGTCGATACTCACTTTCTTGACGGTATCCTTTGAAGTTTTCGACTAATTTTGATGAAGTCCAATTTAGTTTTTTGTTGTTGGTGGTGGTGGTGCTTTCAGTACTGTATCTAAGGTCCTATTACCTAACCCAAGAGCTGAATGATTTACTCCTATGTTCTCTTCTAAGTTTCACAGTTATAACTCAAATTTAGGTCTATGATCCACTTTGAATCAGATTTTGTGCACACTATGAAGTAGGGGTCCAATTCTTTTTTTTTTTTTTCTAAGATATCCAATTGTTCCAGCACTGTTTGGTGACGATGCTCGTATTTGGCTCTCTTGTCAAAAAATAAACTGATCATAAACGTATGGTGTATTTCTGGACTCAACCCCCACTGCAAGGATTTTCCTTCTGCTGGGAAAAACTCAGCACGGTTAACTCCGACTCAGCCTTCACGCCCAGTCCCCGAGTCACCTCCTCAGAGAAGTTTCCTCAGGCCTCACAGACCAGGCCAGGCTGTCTGCTTATGTCACCATTCTGTTCTGCTGTGCAACGCCTCCAATTCCGATTTGCAGTGGTAAATGCAACTGCGGAATATCTAGCACAACTGTGTGCAACAGCTTATGGTTTTGCAAAATCACAAAAATCTAAACTGCCGTTTAGAAAAAAAAAAATGTAAAATGCCATTCATAGAATAGTCTAACTTTACCAAAATAGAGCTGGTTGCCATAACCATATTATAACGCCAGGTTCTGTTTGGAAAATCTACTACAAACTTTTCCTTTCCTGTCTTTCCTGTCAGGAATTTAAACTTGGACATTAAAAAGGGGTGGGAGGTGGGAGGGAACACAGAGAGGGAGGAGTGGGGTGGGGGAGAAAGAGGACTATTGCTAAAGTCTCAGTCGGTGAGACACTACACTCTGAATGCGTGCACGTGTAGCCACGACGGGCACTGGCGCCATCCGGGCCTTTCCAGAACTAAGCCCGTTCGGAATGTACACAGAACTCTGAACTCTTCAGTGAAGGAACAGCAAGTAAGCGAGCTCATCTCCTGTGACCGCTCTGACTTGACCACCCCACTCGTGAGCCAGAGTGCAGACGACCTGGTCTCTTCCCATCCTCCCCTCCTGACCAAGGCTAAAGACAGCAGAGAAAGAGGCCGAGCTTACCCACCACCCTCCTGTCAGCCCCGCACAGTTCCCGACACTGTCTGTTCTCCTCTACAGTTAACAGCTGCTGCACTGACTACACGTCAAAGTGATCACCCGGAGATGCTGGGCTATATGAAGTATATCAAAAAGTTAATTTCACCACTATTTTTTTACTGCTTCAATATGGCAACTAAAAATTGAATGACACATGTTTCACATTGTATTTCTATGAGACATTATTGTTTCAGAACAGGGTCAGGCTACAGCACTACAGTGGCTCTCATTTAAAAAAAGAAACAAAATTGAATGATAAATAAACATCTTCAGAGTAAAGTTCACAAAGAGTTGATTTTGATAAAAATTATTTCAGTCAAATAAGCTAGAAAATTTTAATTTTGCTCTATGACAAACTGATCAAGGAATCAAACTTTCGAAGTTCAAGTAAAAAATATTTTCTTGGGGGAGAGGGAGAGGTGGGAAAGGGTTGATTAGCAGGTACTTAAAGACAGAAGAAGTCCTGTGTTCTGCATGGTAGGAGGGCTGTAAGGTACTAGATAGTGCTTTATAAAAAGCTAGGATTCTTTTCATCATAAAGGAATGATTTTAAATGCTTGAGGAGACAGACACGTTTATCCTAAACTAGACATTCCACATTGTACACATGTTTTGAAACATCACGTGGTACTCCATAAAGACAAATTTTCATGTAGTCGTTAAAATTTTAAAGAATATTTCCTTATAAAGAAGAAAAAGACAGGGGCTGGCGCTGTGGCATAGCCAGTAAGGCTGCTGCCTGCAGTGCTGGCATCCCATATGGGCACCAGTTCAAGTCCCGGCTGTTCCTCTTCCAATCCAGCTCTCTGCTGTGGCCTGGGAAAGCAGTAGAAGACGGCCCAAGTCCTTGGGCCCCTGCACCCGTGTGGGAGACCCGGAAGAAGCTCCTGGCTCCTGGCTTCGGATCAGCGCAGCTCTGGCCACTGCAGCCATTTGGGGAGTGAACCAGCGGATGGAAAACCTCCCTCTCTGCATCTGCCTCTCTGTAAACGCCTTTCAAATAAATAAATAAATCTTAGAAAGAAAGAAAAGACAAAGGACTGAATTTCCTTCAGGTCTGCACAACCCTGCTCTCGCGTCCACGGCGTGCGCCCCCTTCCTTCCTTCCTTCTCCACTTCCACGCTTGTGGGATGCTGTCTCAAGAGTAACGGACTTACAAAGAAGAAAAAGACAAAAACTATTTTTTGACAAAACTCACACAGCCGGTCTCGTGCTGATTAAAACCTCTGTAGCGAGGCTTCTGGTACAGTTAGGACGCCACTAGAGGCGCCGCGTGCTTCTGGCTCTGGGCAGCCAAGCCCTGCACCTTCTGGGCATCTGCAGAGGGAGTCGGCAGACTCAAGACCTCTCTCTGTGTGTTTCTTTTTCAAATAAAAGGTAAATACATTTTTTTTTCTTAAACTCGCTATCAGGAGACATAGTTAGACCTTGAGCTAAAGTGACGTCAAGGCAAAGGGCTGTTTCAAATTCAAGTGGTGGTTTAAGTGCATTCTGATACTTAAATCTAGGGAAGACAACTCGTAGAATTTAGGGAAAGGGGCTGGTAGGACGGTATTAAGGAGGAGAGACATGGAAAAGAAAGGAAAGTCAACCACCCCCTTCCAGGGTCCCCCCAGACTCCTCTTTTTCTCCAGACATCCTCATTCTTGGAGGCTCTGACTACTTCTCTACAAAAACTGAAGACTAACTTAAACCGCAACTGAAATCAGAACTGTATTTACATGGGCAGGCAAATATGGTTATTCAGAAATGGGTTTTAAGCCAAATACAATATTGCTATGAAATAATCTCACATGCCACAATAATTCTTTGGAAGTTAAACCATAAAAGGGGGAGGGCACTTTAAAATTAAGCAATAAAGTGGCTGAGTTTAGGCCAGTTTGGGAGAACATCTCTCTGACTGCAGGGCACAGTAAAACCTGCCCTGTCAGAGCAACTGAATGATCAAATGCAACTTCCTTTTTTAAATGATTTATTTATTTTGAAAGCCAGAGCAAGAGAGAGAGGGAGAGAGACACAGAGAGAGGTCTTCTATTCACTGGTTTACTCGCAGATTGTCGCAATGGCGGGGGTTGGGCCAGGCCAAAGCCAGTAGCTTCATCCGGGTCTCCCATGGGAGTGCAGGAGCCCAAGCACTTCAGCCACCTTCAGCTACTTCCCCAGGCATGTTAGCAGGGAGCTGGATTGGAAGTGGAGCAGCCAGGACTCCAGCGGGGGCCCATATGTGATGCTGGTGATGCAGGAGGCGACTTAACCCACTGCACCACAGAGCTGGCCCCCAAATGTGACTTCTTCACAGAAAAGTGATGGGGCCGGCGCCATGGCTCACTTGGTTAATCCTCCGCCTGCAGCGCCGGCATCCCATATGGGCGCCAAGTTCTAGTCCCGCTCTTCCAGTCCAGCTCTCTGCTGTGGCCTGAGAGGGCAGTGGAGGATGGTCCAAGTGTTTGGCTCCTGGCTCCTGGCTCCTGGCTTTGGATTGGCGCAGCACCAGCCATGGCGGCCATTTGGGGAGTGAACCGACTGTCTCTCTCTCTCTGTCTATAACTCTATCTGTTAAATAAATAAAATTAAAAAAAAATCAATTGTAAAAAACAGAAAAATGCTAAACAAAGTGAGAGTGCTCATTCATCTGATTTCTTAAAATACTAAGGAGTCATCTTTCTTTTTTATTAACATTTATTTACTTATTTGAAAGGCAGAGTTAGAGAGAGGCAGGGGCAGAGAGGTCTTCCAACCACCGGCTCACTCCCCAAATGGCTGCAACAGCCAGAGCTGAGGGGATCTGAAGCCAAAATGGAGCCAGGAGCTTCTT